TTCCCATATCAGGAAAAAATCGTGAAAATTAATGTGCGAAATCTGCTCATTGAGCACTTTCAGCTAAAGCAATAAAAAATTGTGTGCAAATTCTCCATTTCCTTCGTGCAGACAGTGTAATTAGAAAAATTGTACTTCAGCTTTGGTTTAAAAATGCAGCACATTTTATCCTCGATAAACTATCACCTCAGTTTTGCATGAAATGGTTAGACTTATATAACCATTTTTTCAGCTTTTATGGTGGAGAAATGTCACACAAAATTTTAAGCCGTAATTACTATCAGTCATCTTTCTAAAAAAAAATCATGACCGGCAATTTACAGCAAAGGAAAAATTTGCCCAATTTCTGTATTTACAGGAGGTCATTCTGTATTAATTCGTTAACGGATGGAGCTTATTGACCTCTTGGATTCATGTTCTTACCTAATATGCTGATTCGATCTAATAAGAGAAGAAAATATTTTTTTTATTATTTTCCTATTTTTTCTCCATTTTTTATGATGAATGGTTGAAAAGTTATAGCTGTTGAATAAATTTTTATTTTTAAAAGCTGCTATTTTTTGTACGTTTTAAAGTTCAGTATAAAATTTAACAGACAAGCAAAGATGTAAAACATTTTTTCCTTCAAGTAAAAGAATCAGTATCGCAAGTATAGGTATGAACAGATTCTGAGAGGTAAAGGTCCAAAACCTCATTGAATTGCTTGACATGCCCATGGACGCGTGCTGTCACCACTATGCCGGAATTCACTCATTATTTTTTGCAACTGTTTCTCTATAATAATCGGTTTCTTGCCTAATTAGATGGAAATGATTACACATTAAGGTGGCACTTGAAATTTGAATTACCTAGCTCATTTTGAACTACTATTATCCATTTTCAATTTTCAGCAACTCATCAAGAGGCAAAATTGGCCGCCCTTTTGGCGGAGGATTTAACAGACATTGAGTCTGAAGCTGAAACAACTTTTTCACAAGATTCACAACAGAAACAAACAACAGAACAAAATTCACAAGAGAAAGATGATTCATCTGGAAGCTCATGTAAAGATAAGGATGCAGATAGTCACAAGGATTCATGTGAAGATAAGGAGTTGCAGGAAGGCGAGCCAAGCCTGAAGAAAACTAAAATTCAGAGGGTATCAAACCCAACCATTGAAGATATTTACAGTATGTTACAGTATTTTCTCTCTCCTCTTTATTAAACTGGTGTAGGTTTTTAAGAAATTAGTTTCTCAAACTGGATTCATCCAGGAATGTGACAAAATGAGTGACTTATTTTGTTCTACCTAGGCTGATGTGGTAGCTTCTTCATATGATATTCGACATAATATCTATACTTGCTGCACCCCACAGCAAATGGATTGTTCTTATTTTGTCATTTTCCCACGACCTTGAATGAGCAGTCAAATTCAGTAGCAATACTGCAGCATATCAATGATGGAAAAATTTCATGTACTTTAAAATAAAATCATAAAATTTCTCTTGAAATCTTCTCACAAATTTCAAAACTTTATGATCTATAAGAAATTTATAATTTAGAATTAGGTGAAAAAGATCATGGTAGGGACCTACTATTACTGGATGACCATGTCCCTCTTTAAGAGAAGACAGGGTATAGGCTGGTATGGTCATACACAGTCATAATGGTGGACTTTTAAGTGTCCTTATAAACTTGTCACATACCGGGATTGAACCTGGGACTTCAGCCTTTGTGGCGAACTGCCTTATTCACCTCACCACAGAGGCAGGTTCGTGTATGTACAGGATAAAAGAAATTTTGCATTGGAAATTAAAGCTTGTCTACATTCTGTAGAATAAATACTTTATTCTTTTATTTGACCCTATTTAATGGTGTTATCTTACTGTCTCCAGGTTTAGTTTATGAAAATACCAAAATGGTATCCAAACATTTGAAAGGCCATGATACTCAGCAGGCGACCGTCCAAAGCAGCGGCCAACGCAACAGAGTCAATATTACTCTCACCGGGAAGGAAGATCTTGACAGAATGGAAAAACAATTAAGAGAATCTGCAGAATATGCTGAACAAGTGGTTTGTATTTTGTTTAATTTGATGTTTGGGAGTTTATTCTCTTTTCACTTGCTTTGCCATGTTTTTCACTTTATCCGTATCATAAATCTCATGAATGATCAAACGCCTGCTTTTACAAACAATTCACCACAGCCATCAAAGCCGAGCTCTTCGTGAGAAAAGTTACTTTCAATGGTGGGGGGAGGGGGCACAAAAAATAATTCATGTATGGTTTGAGCCCCCTCCCTCTCAAGTTAGGAAACAAGGCAAAGTTTAATATGAATCTTATTCATAGGGAAAATTAGAAGAGCTTGCTGAAAGAAGGGTGAATTGGATCATCCTCCCTTTTTTGAGAAATTTGCTTAGTATGACATTGATATTCTGAGGAATGTACCCTCCAATTTTCATGATGAATTGATGATCCTGCAAACAGCCAGTCACCAAAATATAAAACGCCCCAAGAAATTTATTTTAAACTAAAATTGCCTTGCTGACATGGCTCAGCAAGAAGCACGACTTTTCTCTTCTTTTTTTTTTCTAATTTAAAAATGAAATTTTTACTTTTTAATGCACCTGAATTGGCTTTACTGGAGTGAAAGTTCTGTGGCTCCTTAACTAAATGTATGGCTCATTTGCAATTAGCTGTGACATTTCCAGCGGAGAGAGTTAATCCAATCCCTGGTTATGAGCTGAGACATTGCTATTTGATAAGTCTGGTTCATAAATTGAATATTCTTAGGAAGGTGAACTGTTTCTCTATAAGTCTAATCTCTAACTTACTCTATAGTTCTACTCACAGTGCAAAGTGGCATCGTTTCAAGATTGGCTCAATATGCCCAAAATTCTGGTATTGTCGAAAAGGGATGAAGGAACATTGAGATGACGTACTTGTGGGATAGGTAGAAAACAATGCTAAATGATGTTGTATAATTAAAGGTCAAAATCAGCCTGAAATAGAGGTAGTCTTTTCTTTATTTCTTTTTCTTTGCTTCAGGGTTTGTTTCTACTGTGTTGCAATCTCTTGCATCCCCCTACGTGTGAATATTGTCTGGCACTGTCTACAGCATCAAGTATAGTTGCAGTATTATTTCAAGATTAATATCAGTATTATGCCGATATTCTTTTGAAATGAAGCCTCCATGTTAAGAGTAATATTATATCCATTTTGCGTGAATGTTGACTGGCGAGGAGGGCTTGGCTATTATTCCTAGCAATATTTCCCTGCACCCCACTGCAGGGTGAGTAGACGTAAGACTTAGCTGCGGTCTATTGCACCTAGTCTTTCTTCCACACAGTTACCAATTCCGACAATTTGAATTTTTTCTTTTTCCAGAAAATGGAGCTGTTACTACTTGGAGGAATTGACGGAAGGGATTTGCTCATTAGAATCCTTAAAAAATTGCTCCCTCCCGCTGTTTGTAACGAAATGACCCTCAAAGGTGCCATGAGAAAACAGGTGCGAAAGTTCAAATTCATGGACTCGAAGATCCAAACTGTAATATTCGGTAAGTGTTATTTACCTATTTTCACAGTGGGCTTGAACGAATTCCAAATGGAGGAATGAGAAACCTCATTTCTGGAAACGAGGAATTACAGGTGAAACACCTTACAAAAACATCTTTGGTTAAACTAAAATTATCCGATCGTCCAGTTTTTTTCGGTTGTTTACTTCCCTCCCCGAAAATGTGTGTTTAATGTAAATCATTACAATTTGCCTTAAGAAAGTAATCAAGACAAGTATGAACAACAAGGGTCACCCCTTTCCGTACCAACATAGAGTTGAAATTTTTACATTTTGATCCATGGCAATAAAAATTATGAGGCTGAAATTTTCAAAACCCCACAACATTTTCTCTTCCCGCTGCAGCATTGCCAAATTGAGATTCTTGAAATTAAATTACTGAAGAATTCATGTATCACAAAAATGACTATTTATGAAAATAAAAATAATTAGGGCCAGAGTTCTTGTCAGCTAAGTTGGCAGTTTGACTTTCTGTTCGCAAGGGACTGCGATGCAATGTTCCAGTAGAGATCGAGGCTTGACTGAGGCTCAGTCAACATCGAGATAGGAAGGGGGTCGCAGAAGGACTTGGTCCGTCCCCCCCCCCCCCCCCCCAAGAATGCTCAAGACCTCTTCCTTGCTTTTTAAGTTGGAATTCGTTTGAACTTCCTGTGAATTTCACTCTTTTTCTACACAAACTTAAATATGATTAAATTGATGAGTTCTAAAAGAACCCAAGTCTTAAGAACAAATTACTCCAAGGGTTGGTAAA